AATTTCATGCACCGGGCCACTAGTTATATTAGAAAATTCCAGGAAAAAACACACAATTTGTAACTTTAAAATTTTAGGCCATTCTGAGTAGCATGATGAAATATTGAGCCATCCCGCTCTGTCCACCCGAGACTGAATCATGCTTTTGTCCAGTGCCTCCACGCTGTAGACATTTCAGTCACCGGAGAGAGACCGCTTTCACATAACTTTTATTACAGTGTGTTGTTATACTCACTCTATTTTATTAGTTATTGTCGCTAACCTCTTACTGTGCCTAAATGGTTATGCATGTATATATATATATATATATATATATATATATATATATATATATATGAAAATGCATAACCTGTACAGGATTCAGTACTCTTCATGGTTTCAGCATCCCTGGGGGTCTTGGAACATCCCCCCCCCCCATGGATAAAGGGCGTGGGGGGGGAAGACTGGAGCTACTGCCAATCCTTAGTTCCGCTGTGCTACGTCAGCACCCAGTGTGTGCAGAGGACGCAGATGGTCACAGAATTCCCCCCTCCCTGCGACCACCGCAGTTTGAAAAACAAGCCAGTCCCTTAATTCTGAAGTAGCAATGCAGGGAAAATTACATTCTGAGAACCCAGTTTCTGGAACAGTGTTTCCTATTTCCAAAGACCATCCTGCTGCACCAGGTGGGCCCCTGCTTAGGACATATCTCTCTCTCTCTCTCTCTCTCTCTCTCTCTCTCTCTCTCTCTCTCTCTCTCTCTCTCTCTCTCATTTTCAGGGGTGCACCTACAGCTGCTGCTCCTGCCTCTTGCTCTACAATTAAGTCTAAGAAACCCGCCTCCTGGGGAAGATTTATCCCTAATATTTAATTATCCAATCAGACCCTAATTGGAAACCCTAGAGAGAGTGTGCATGTCTGTGTGTGTGTATGTGTGTGCGTGCATGTGTGTGAGGGAGGTTGACTCTTGAGACTGGAAGAACCACATGGGCTCCAGCCTCCCCCACCCATCATTTGCTCCTTGTCTTCTAATGCGGGATGGATTTGGGGTTTCCCCTCCAGCATTGCCCACCGGGCTTATTATTAAGTTTAACGCTGGACCTACTCTAGTTTTCTACGGGACACACAGCAGCCTTCTGCGTGGAAAGCAGTAAGTATGATGTCGCTCACCGCTGAGTAAAAGGGCCTGAGGCCACTCTGCCCTGCGGCTGCAGCTGTGCTCTCTGGCGCCTGCCGCCCTTCTCTGCGGCCTTGCTGGTGCCCGGGTGCATCTTCGAGGGCTCGTTCAAGGTCCCGCTGTGAGGCCTGCACCTGGAGGCTGCCTGCCCACAGCCTGTCCCTGCCACAGCCCAGACGGCTTTGTCTCAGGCGCGCAGCCCAGGCCTCGCTTCCCGGGCGTTACCAGGGCCGCCCTCCTCCTGCGGAAACAACCTGCAGACAGAGCAGTGCTCCGCTCAGGATAAAAGTACGAATGGTTTTAGGCCTAAAGTCTCTTGCCCAGTCTGTGCTATTTTATTATGTATTACTTTTAAAAATATATTTTATTGATTTTTTTTTTTTTTTTTTTTTTTTTTTTTTTTTTTTTTTTTTTTTTTTTAACAGAGAAGAGGGAGAGGGATAGAGAGTTAGAAACATCAATGAGAGAGAAACATTGATCAGCTGCCTTTTGCACATCCCCTACTGGGGATGTGCCCGCAACCAAGGTACATGCCCTTGACCGGAATCGAACCTGGGACCCTTGTGTCTGCAGGCTGACGCTGTAGCCACCGAGCCAAACCGACCAGGGCTGTGCTATTTTAACACCAATATCCCAGCTGGAAAAGTGAGCTGGGTTGCAGGATTTAGGCTGCAAACCACCAATGTGAGAAAACCATTTGGCTCGGACCCTGAACTGAAGCGCCATCCACCTTGCCCCCGCCAGGGACAGAAGCCCCAGGTACCCCACGTGTGGTTTGCTCCCATAAACTTGACTCCTTGTTTATGTCTCATGGCTTGTTGCCTAGGCAACCTATGTATACTTTGGAGAGGGCTCAATAAATAATATCCCCATTTCAAGGCCGCTATTCCGAGCGGCTGATTGTTAAAAAGCACAGGCGGCCTCCTGCAGTGCTAGGTGAACGGCTGTTGCCCAAAGCCCTGTGCTTCTTGGGGTTCATCGGCCACCACAGCCTTTTCTGGGTGAGTGCCTGGACCTGTCCAGCAGCCCAGAACTGAAGGGGACCTGCCTGGCTCCCCAGGAACCGGCCTCCCGGACCCCGCCCCAGGGCCGCGGCCAGGACATAGTCAGGATTGCTCGTTCACTCTTTTGAATATCATTCCTACCTCCTTCCTCTCTCTGGTTATGTACCATTTGAGAAGTCAGAAAAAGAGGAAGGTGGGCAGATGGTCATAGATGAAATTATAGAGGAGTTATAATGACAGGACTTCCTCTACAATGACAGGTGAATTTTAGACGAGAGCTACCGTATTTTTCGGACCATAAGACGCACTTTTTTCCCCCCAGAAGTGGGGGGAAAAAGTCCCTGCGTCTTATGGTCCAAATATAGCCTACACATATACTTTAAAAAAAAAGTTTTTTTACTTGCTCGGCTCTGTGTGGTCTCTGTGTGCTTGCCCGGCTCTAAAATGGTTCTAAATGCTGCTGTTTACTTTACAGGGTTGATTACATGTGTTTATGAGTGTGATGTTGGGTTTTAATGCACATAAAATATTTTAGGACACTATTTGTTTCAGAATCTTTTTTTCTTCATTTCCCTTCTCTAAAAACTGGTGCGTCTTATGGTCCGGAGTGTCTTATGGTCCGAAAAATACGGTAGTTTGAGGGTCAGAGACTTACCAACTCACTTTGTCACTTTAGTGCAGAACAGGGCACTGCCAGGCCACCACCCCTTCCCCTTCCACTGTGGGGACAGGGCCTGTCCCTGGGGGCAGCAGAGGGAGAGCTGGTGCCCTCGGTGGGCAGGGCTGGGACTAGGGTAGAAGCATGAGGCACTTGCCTCAAGTTATGAATTTAAGGGTGCTCCCCAAAACTTCAGTGATCAAGATACATAATTTTTAGCAAATTATTTTTAAAAAATTGGTATTAATGCAGGAAATCCAGGATGAAAGTTTAATATAAAGGCGGGGTCAGTATTATCAACTTTTCTCCTTGTTTCAGGCTGCCTTGTGGCTCCGTGGGGCACTGCTCCTCATCCCTCTTAGATGTAGTGCCTGGGACAAGTACATATCATATGATTTCACTGAGGTGTGGGACCTAATGAACAAAATAAACTAACAAACAAAATAGCCCTGGAGAACCACTCATCAACTTTGTCTCTACAGACTTGTCCATTCTGGGCACTTCATGTAGATGGTACCACATAATATGTAGTCTTTCGTGATTGGCTTCTGTCATTACATACAATGTTTTAAGTTGTAGCGTTGCATCCATGTGGTATGAATCCATATTCCTTTCTGTTGCTGAAGAATATATCAGTTGTAAGGTTTACAGCATGTTTGTTATCTGTTTACCAGGTAAGGGACATTTGGGTTGCTTTTACTTTTTGGCTATTATGAATAACTAGAAATTCATGCACTGGGGAAGTGGGGGTGTCGCTTAGCCTGGCCTGCGCCCTCTCGCAGTTAGAGAGCCCTCAGGGGAAGTCTGACTGACGGTTGGGAGCGGGCCTAAGCTGGCAGTCAGACTTCTTAGCGCTGCTGCGGAGGCAGGAGAGACTCCCACCACCGCTACTCTCGCCAGCTGTGAGCTTGGCTTCTGGCTGAGTGGTGTGGCCACCAGGGGGCAGCTCCTGCATTGAGTGTCTGCTCCCTGGTGGTCAGTGAGTGTCAAAACAACCGGTCATTCCGCTGTTCAGTTGATTTGCATATTTAGCTTTTTATTATATAAGATAGGATACTTCTATTCAGAATCATGCTCATTTCTGTAAAAGTTTTGTGTGGACATATGTTTTCATTTCTCTTTACTAGATACTTGAGAGTAGAGTTGGTGTGTCATGCAGTAACTCTTAACATTTTAAGGAACTCCCATTAGAGTACCTATTTAACTATTAAGAATCCACAATTTTTGCCTGGCTGGTGTGGCTGGTGTCCCATGCTCCAAACGGTCACTGGTTCAATTCCTGATCAGGACACATGCTCAGGTTGCAAGTTTGATCTCCAGTAAGGAGTGTGCAGGAGGTAGCTGATCAATGATTCCCTCTCATTATTGATGCTTCTAATTCTCTCTCTCTCTTTTCTTTCCTCTCTCTGAAATCAATTTTTTTTAAATTAAAAAAAAAATCAACTTTTTTTCAACTTTAAAATGGGATGAGTTTGAGGTAGAGAATGAAAACGGGGAAAAGAGAGTGCCAACTCCCTATCAGGCATGTCAAACTGCTGTGAGTTTGACATGCTTGCAAATCGTCACTCATCTCCAGCTCCTTGGCGGAGCCTGCCAGGCTGCCTGGCGATCACCCTCCAGGGAAACACAAGGACCCTTCCGAAAAGCAAAAATAAATTAGCAATTCATAGAAATGTGTATATATCCTATCCAATAAAGAGGGAATATGCTAATTGACCCTCACACCATCACAAAGATGGCAGCGCCCACAGCCAATAAGGAGGGAATATGCTAATTAACTGCCCCACCCTCAAAGGTTGGGACAATGGGCATCAATTGGGACTGTCCTAGACAAATTAGGACCAATGCTCACTCTTTCAGCCAACAAGAAGGAAACTCTTACAGATTCCTGTTTCTTCTCTCTTACTATGAGTAAGATTCACTGAGAGTCAAGAGGAGGCATCTATGATGTGAAGTCTGTCGCCGGGGCAACAGTGGCAGTGTCTGCCTTCCACGGGCCCCATGCCCTCAATAAAAAAGCATTTTGAAAAGGGGCTGATACTTTAGCCAATGATACCTGAACTACCTGCATCCGTAGTCGTAAGTTCTAAATGTAAAAAACATAGGGACTGAAATGAACCAAGCGGTGACTTGTTCATTGTTCTAACATTTTCCGTGAGTTAAAATATGTGATTTCTTCCAGGGGACGACTCTAGAACATCTCAGACCAAGAAACCCTCGTCAGTGCTGAGAAGACCGTCAAGATGGACAGTGTTTCCTTCCCCCTCATTGGAAAGGACTTAAGAGAGAACTGAAGTGGCCGAGGCGTTGAGTTCATCTTCAGGATGAACGCATTTAGCTCAGGAGACAGGCCGCAAGACGACCTGCAGCCCTTACTTGTCAACGACAAAAATGGAAACACTTACGCCTACCACCCCACAGTGCCACCTCCGCGCTGCTCGGCGAGCGGCTGGCCCTGTGCCAACCCAGACGCCATGGTGGTGGACGATGATGCCGATGTCGCTGCGGACGTTGGTGAAAACATGGCCTTCAACCCTCTGTGTGTCCAGGATCCTGATCACCCGAAGCCTCCGAGTGATTTCTCTGTAGTCCCAGGGGAGCCTGGGCACCTGCATAGCAGCTGTCATCCCCGCAAGGCCCCCCAGGGCCAGAGTGAGGAGCCAGCTCCGCCTTTTGCGCGGAAACCCGAGGAGGGCGCTGGGAGCGGTGCGGACTGCCCGGGTGCCTGGGAGCTGCACCAGACCTTGGACGGGAGAGCAGATAACGCTCACTGCGCCTTTGCAGAACACCACGCCGTGGGAAAGAGCCAGTCTTTGCACGCCCCTGGGAGCCTGCAGCCAGCTGGCATGAGAAGTGGAAATACGTCTCTGTCCTGTTCCCTTTGCCCGGCTTCCCATTCTGACAAGACACACGTGACGGAGGAGAGCCACGACAGAGGCATCTTTCAAAGCCCCGAGGCCACAGCCTCTGAGGCCCGGGGGCCAGCGCACACGGTGTCCTCCGAGGTGCTGATGCAGACAGACGCCTTTGCTCCAGGTGCTGGACACGCCTGTCCGTGTTCTTCAGGGAACGTCACCAGGGAGCACACAGATGGGCCCCCGCAAAGGCTCGTGGGAGAAGAAGAGACACACGCTCGGGCACCAGCTTCCGATGGCATGGACATCCCCGGTGGGCCTGCAGGAAAGGAGTTCTTTTGTGCATCTGACGATGAAGCGCACAGTGAGACGCATTCAGCGAGCTCACAGGGGCCAGAGGACATGGGCCAGAATCCCGGAGAAACGGTGTCTGATTGTCTCATTGATGACGAGTGCCCTTTTGACAACAGCACGGCCCCAGGGCTGCGCCCCGAACCCAATGTCACCGGGGCCGCACACACACACATGGCCCCCCATGACGTGGACCTGGAGATCCAACATCATACCATAGAGCTGGTCCCAGGTAGCCCCCCTGGACTTGAACTGACTTGGGATGAAAACGACATGCTCATCAGTGCACACGACACCATGTGCATGTCCACGCCGGTCCCCAAGCCCCTGAACGCGACCTTTTTTGTTCCCCCCGTCGTCGAGGCGACGGAGAAGTGCGGTCCCCTGGAGAAAAGCCTCTCTAAACCGAACCTGGGAAAGCCCGCAGCCAAGGCAAACAGCCCGATGGGCAGCAAGGTCAGAAAGAACAAGATCATCAGCTACCCGAGGCCCAACTTCAAGAACGTCAAAGCCAAAGTGATGTCGAGACCTGTGTCGCAGTCCCACGACCCTGCTCTGTCCAAGGTCACACCCAGACCCCAGCTGCCCAGCACCTGCTCACCCCCCTCGACGGTCTCCTCCTCCAGACAGCTGGCCGCACTGAGCCGAGCACGGAGAGCCGACCTGAACGCGGACACGAAGGCAGAAGCCCCAATCAGCAAGACCCAGAAGCAGCAACTGAACAAGCTCCTCACGAGCCAGGCCGAGCATGTTGCGACGCATTCCAAAAACGCTTCCCCCAGGGTTTCCAGAACAACGCCTGCCCCGAGATCGAATCGGGAGGATGTTGACAAGGCAAGCCCTTCCCACTCGGCGTGCGAGCCTGGCTCTGTGGCCGCGTTCCTCCAGAAGTGCAGGGGCCTGTTCTCGGGGACGCTGCAGAGCCCCGAGTGCTTGGACATGACCTACGTGCCCCACCTCCAGGGGACCGGCCCCGAGGAGAAGGGAGCGCAGGAAAACGGGACCCTTCTGGAGAAACAAGACCCCAAGAAGGACGTTTTGAACGAGACCTTTGACTACGGGTCTCTGTTCTTGGTAAGTCAGAGTTTTGCCTGCGTCGGGGAAGGGTGGGGGAGACCCAGGGCTGTGGTAGCCGTGGGTTACCCCTAACGGTCAGTCCCATTGCGGAGCGAGGCGCTCGTTTGCTTTCAGTTGTTGCTACCCTAGCCCGTCATCCTTTCTCTGGTCGGTACATTTTCGAGTGTTAATTGGAAGCCTGCATGCTGGGGAAAAGAAATTCCTGAAGCTCCGTATTTCGTGTTGAGTATTAACGTTCCTTCGGGCATCATAGCAAACTTAGAAGGACAGGCTACTTTACTGTGTTAGGGTAATTCTTTATTTGAAGTGACACATCTGGTTGTTTTTTATTTAGAGGGGAAAAAAAGTGTGTGTTTTTTTAATGAACTTTGAAATGTTTAATGAAATTGGACCACAGTTTAGGAATGGTTGGGGATGCTGGCACAGTGTCAACACAGAAATAGTACCCGGTCTCTTGCAAGGAAGCAGCTTCGGGGAGTGGTGTCTCTCTGGATTCTGCTTCTGATCACTCCTGTGACTTGGGGCCAGTCATCTTTTGAGACCCCCCCCCCCCCACTCCCCCCACAAGGCGACGAGTGAGGGCTCTTGCAGCCTTGACATAATTGATTTCTGGTACATTAAATAAAACCCATTTTATTCTTAGGTAAAAAACTGTATGTTTTCTATAGCAACTCTCAGATATTTGCGGGGGAGGGGAGAGGACGTTACAGTTCCATTTTAAACAACAGAAACAAAAAAAGTCCCCATGCAGTTCAAGGACCCTGGAGTTAGACCCGGTTTCTATTGTAGCTCCTTCGTTCACTGGCAGAGTGATCCCAGGCAGTTACTGAGTCTCTATGAGCCTGCGTTTTCCGTGATGGAGAGGGAGAATACAAGCAAAGGCTTATGTTGTCGGAATTTGCTTTCATATTCTATGTAGGACGGCATGCTATGTGGGACGGGGACTGTTAGGATATAGAAAAGAAAGACATAGCCCCTGGCCAATTGTAGTGTTTAGTACAGTGGGTAATTTTTTTTAAATTATATTTTATTGATTTTGTACAGAGAGGAAGGGAGAGAGATAGAGAGTTAGAAACATCGATGAGAGAGAGTCATCGATCAGCTGCCTCTTACACACCCCCTACTGGGGATATGCCTGCAACCAAGGGACATGCCCTTGACCGGAATCGAACCTGGGACCTTTCAGTTCCCAAGCCGACGCTCTATCCATTGAGCCAAACCGGCCCCGGCACAGTGGGTAATTTTTATTTATCATTTATTTTTAATCCTCACCCAGAAATATTTTCCACTTGAATTTTTAGAGTGAGTGGGAGAGAGAGAGAGAGAGAAATATTTATGTGAGAGAAGCACATTGATTGGTTGCTTCCTGCATGCTCCCAACCAGGGCTCAGGTCAGGGAGGAGCCTGCAACTGAGGTACGTGCCCTTGACCAGAATCGAATCTGGGACCCTTGGGTCCAACAGGCTGACACTATCCAACTGAGCCAAAGCAGCTAGGGCTGCAGTGGGTAATTTTCGAAGATAAGCCAAAAGGGTATTAAGTACATATGGGCTGCTGGGCCGCAGGGATCAGAATGTGTGTGTGTGTGGGGGGGGTGACGGGGGAGAGAAGTCATGGAAGGCTTCTTGCGGGGGCGGATACTGTGTCAGTCGCCAGCTGAAGCTTAAAGGGCAGGTATGTGTTGGAAGGGCGTTCTGGGCACAGGGAATAGCATGCACCAAGGTGGAGAAACGTGGTCTCCTCAGTCAGGGTACTCCAGGTGGAGAGTGTGATGGGAGCTCGGAGTGCAGAGCCTTAGCAGTAAGCTGGAGAAGATGACAGGGCTGGCACGTCCGAAAGGGCTTGGCCTGCCTGGTTGCGGAGGCGGACTTTACCGGGAAGACAGAGGGAAGCCGCTCTGAGCCGAATTTGGAGTCTAGAGAGATTGCCTTAGCGGCGGAGTGCAGGATGAGCCGGTGGCTGGTGGGACCAGAAAGATCCCGAGGACGTGTTCTCAGTAATCCTGCCAAGAAACGATGTAGGCCTGCCCCGAGGTGTGTGGAGAAGGGAGAGGATGCCATCGAGAGGGCTTTAAGCAGTAAGGAAGAAGCACCTAGAAGAAGTTTATTGTTCTTCTTTTGTAACATAGGATGTGATGGGAGCATCCACCTTTGTAGGGTTATGAGGATTCAATGAGTTGATGCATGCATTTCGAGTTTAGCATGGTAGTTTTCATCCTGTAAGGACGAGATGCTGGTCAGTAAACCACAACAACACGATCATTGTCCACATTGCTAGGCAGAGGTGCCTGAAGGATGTCAGGGGGCAGGTGCAGATATAAGGTGACCAGACGTCCCACTTTTGGCGGGTCAGTCCCAATTTTTAACAATTTGTCCCATGTCCCTCAGCGTTTTAAAACAGTCCCGATTTTTGGAAATATTCCACAGGATGAGGGACAGATTGTTAAAAATTGGGACTGTCCCGCCAAAAGCGGGACGTCTGGTCGCCTTAAGATAGAAGCTAGGTCTCTGGGAAACTCCAGAGAGACTGCTCGCTTGGACATGCGGACTTTGAACTTGACAATGTATAGGTGAAGGTTGAAACAGTAGACACAACCATCTAGGGAGAGTATATGGTGAGAGAAGAGAACAGCACCAACTTTCGGATCCTCACGGTGGCTAGCCTTGAAAGGTACAGAAGAACAGAATCCAGCGGAGGAGTAAGCAGACAAGTGGAAAGAAAACCAGGAAGAACCATGTCGAGAAATCTAGGAAAGATGGACTCATCGTCATCCGATGCCACAGGGAGGGCCTACAAGGTCATTAGTCACCTTGGGAACAGTTTCATTGATGGGGACAGAAGGCAGACAACGATGATTTTAAGAGTAAACTGTGAAGAGCTTGAATATCTTCATGGTAAAAATGAAAATTAAATATTCATCTGGCATCTCTGCTTAAACAAATTGTCCTTTTTAAAAAGATGGATGACAAGCATTTATTTCTCACCATACTGGAGGCTGGGATGTCCTAGACTCGTGGTTGGCAAACGGTGGCTCGTGAGCCACATGCGGCTCTTTGGCCCCTTGAGGGTGGCTCTTCCACAAAATACCACGGCCTGGGCGAGTATATTTTGAAGAAGTGGCATTAGAAGTTTAAGTTTAAAAAATCTGTCTCTCCAAAGAAATGTCAATCGTTGTACTGTTGATATTTGGCTCTGTGGACTAATGAGTTTGACGACCACTGTCCTAGATGAAGGCACCAGCAGCAGATTTGGCATCTGGTGAGAGCCCACTTTCTGTAGACAGCTGTCCTCTCCTGTACCATCACATGGCAGGAGGTGGCAGGAGAGCACTTTGGGGTCTCTTTAGGGCATAAATCCCATTCGTAAGGGTTCCACCTTCAAGACTTCATCAACTTTCAAAGGCCCCACATCCAAATACTATCACATTGAAGGTTTATGAATTCAATTTATTATTTTTTTGGGGGGGTGTAAACATTCAGTCTATAGCAATATGTATATATGTATAGCTAGACTTATGTGTGTAGGAATATATAAAGATACATGTATCTATGTATGCATAGGAAGGCAGATAAATAATATTGATTGTACGGAACTGGCTTATGCCACATGATTGTGGGGCCTGAAACACATAGAGAAGGTTGGGAGGATGGAAATTAAGAGAAGAGTTGCTGTTGTAGTCTTGAGTGTGAAAGCTGCAGCCTAAAAACTCAGTTTCATTAACCAATAGCTTCCCAATAAATTTTTTAAAAAATTTAAAAAGACAGCGCCATCGAGACGAATGGTTTCGTTCATGTAGCTGACACCCCAGGGAGTAGTGTGGGGACGGTGTGATCTGGACTCACATTTTAACTCTTCTTCACAGGGTTCTGCTTCGAAACCGGCAGTGCCCGCAGGGAGGAACGCACCCAAGCCCGAGGCCTCCGGTTTGCGGATAACACCAGGTCCGAAGGCCAGAGGGGCCCCTGCTGCTTCCTGCTTGCGGTGCACTAGCAACAGCAGGACTCTCAGTGCTGACCGGACCTTGTCCTTCCAGAGGATCAGGCGTGTGGCCAGTTCTGGTGAGCATAGAGTACCGCAGCCGTGGCTTCTAGCAGCGTGTGAGCTGTTCCCGTGTAAAATGAGGCGTGTCGGAAAGCGGAAAGGCAGGTTTTGGTTTTAGAACAAATGCGTTCTGTCATGAAGCCTTTATCTTTGTGGACGAGCATGGTAACAGGGAAGGTAGGAGAGGTTGGGGACACAGCCCTCGCCTTTGAGCCGAGGACAGGCTCAGTGGGGAGAGATCTACGGTACATGCACAAACTCACAAGCCATTCAGAAGCAAGCTTATAGAGATATAGAGCAGCTACCTGTTCTAGATGAATCATTAAGAATTTTTTTAAAAAATGATTAAGTGCTTAATAACATTTAAGTGTTATACACTCAACTTACAATGTACCCTCACCACATGTGAAAAGATTAGCCTTTAAAAAAAATATTTACTGCCGAAACCGGTTTGGCTCAGTGGATAGAGCGTCAGCCTTCGGATTGAAAGGTCCCAGGTTCGATTCCGGTCAAGGGCATGTACGTTGGTTGCGGGCACATCCCCGGTAGGGGGTGTGCAAGAGGCAGCTGGTCGATGATTCTCTCTCATCGATGTTTCTAACTCTCTATCCCTCTCTCTTCCTCTCTGTGAAAAATCAATAAAATATATTTAAAAAAATATATATATATATATATTTACTGCCGAAACCGGTTTGGCTCAGTGGATAGAGCGTCAGCCTTCGGATTGAAAGGTCCCAGGTTCTGTTCTGGTCAAGGGCATGTACCTTGGTTGTGGGCACATCCCCAGTAGGAGTTGTGCAGGAGGCAGCTGATCAATGTTTCTCATCGATGTTTCTAGCTCTCTATCTCTCTCCCTTCCTCTCTGTAAAAAAATCAATAAAAATGTTAAAAAAAAAATAAATAATACATAAAGAAATGTTTACTGTAAGACGTTTTAGAAATTTTCAGGAACGTAAGAGTGACTAAAAAGTTAAACTTTTCTAGTAGGCACTTTTATTTATGTTGGTTTGTATTTTAGAAGTAATAGCTTTAAAATCGTATTTGGCTTGTGAAATTTGCGAGCTTCAAGAGTAGCTAGCTGTTCAGTGTCTCACTACCTCTGGCAGATGCACAGATTTCTCCAAATGGAAGGCTACGCTTACAGATCAGACTGGGAGTTACCTCTTTCATAGGGACGGAGACAGAAAGCCATGGAAAATTCCCTGCAGGGAACACCCCGATTTTAACAGGTAGAACCTTGAGTAAATGAAAGGCATGTCAGAGAGATGTAGAGGTTTCCTTATGAAAAGAGTGACTGTAATTGGACGGTCTAAAAAAAACAAAAGTGCCTCTAGCATTGTGTGTTCAGAAACTACAATAACAAACCACCAAAACCCAGAGTGTCTCTGGACAGCTCCATGCCTTGGTGTCTGCTTTCCAGTCCTGTTAGAAGCTGCCCAGGTGAGAAGCCTGTGACGTGCAGAGGGTTTTAAGGATGTCCACTGAGAGGCAGGCCCGGTGTCAGGGTGCTGAGATTCTGAGGCACAGACTCGGGCAGAGGTGTGGGCGGAGGAAGAAAAATTAGCAGCGCCTTCATCCTTTGGGAGAAAAACAGAAGAGAAGCGAAAGAAATTCAGAGAATCCCTGATCCTTATTACTATTATTTTTAAATAGACTAGTATTTTTATTGAGTTCAGAGAGGAGGGGAGAGAGAGAGAAACATCAATGATGAGAGAGAATCATTGGTCAGCTGCCTCCTGCACGCCTCCCCCTGGAGATCTAGCCCGCACCAGGCAAGTTCTCTGACCAGACTCTAACGGAGACCTCCTGGTTCACAGGTCGCTGTGCAACCACTGAACTGCACAGCCGCGTGTGGTCCTTATTTTGGATGTTGCCACAGACAGGGAGTTGAGACATAAGTGAGATCGAAGCCTTGGTTCTTACTGTTGTTGCTGCCTGACAAGGCTCATGGGGTTTGCCAGTGGTTGCCGGAGTGTCTGTGTGTTGGTGGCCTGGAGGAGCCACACCACGGCAGCCTGGCCTATGGTGAGGAGCCCTGGGCTCCAGGATCACTCTTGCACCGAGCACTGCCTGGGCGAGTCCCTTACCCGCCCTGGCTTCAGCCTTCGCATCTCTGACGTGTGAGGGTTTAAGAACCTGAGGCCCTGCCAGCGTTTGTAGTCATCTTTCTGGGGGCACTGTGGAGCTCCCCTAATTATCCGAGTCGTGGCTACTGCTGGGCCACACGATGGGCAAATCCCAGAAAACCTGAAGTGCACATGCTTTTAAGAAATGTGGCCAATATCCGGGATATACACGGGTGGGCAAAAGTAGGTTTACAGTTGTGAGTATGCAAAGTAAAGTTCATTCTCGCATTATTATGTATTATTATTAACTTACTTTTGCCCACCCCTGTGTCTTACAAGATGGGATTCTTTTATGCAGGTGATCGGTCCCATCAAAGAGTGAACTATTTATTTATTTATTTATTTAATATATTTTTATTGATTTTTTTTTTTTTTTTTTTTTTTTTTTTTACAGAGAGGAAGGGAGAAGGATAGAGAGTTAGGAACATCGATGAGAGAGAAACATTGATCAGCTGCCTTCTGCACCCCACCCCCTGGGGATGTGTCCGCAACTAAGATATATTCCCTTGGCTGGTATCGAACCTAGGACCCTTCAACTCTGCAGGACGATGCTCTATCCGCTGAGCCAAACCGGTTAGGGCAAGAGTGAATTATTTTTAAGTATACTGTATTTACTGTATACTGTATAATGTCAATGCCGTAAAAAGAGGGGGGGAAAAAAAGATCTGTTTAGTCTTAATAAAAAAAAGACAGGGAAGTTTATTAAGCTCTTATTAACCTGTATAAACACTCTTGGCAACTAAGTTATACATTCAGAGTTCTCAATCTGAGCTAAACACGGAATTACATTTCCCTTGGCGGTTTACCATGTGTAAATGGGGGCGGGGGGGAAATTTAGTATAAGCAGACCACTGAGCAGTGTGGGTTTGCACTGAAAGTCTTGCTTATGCTGCGCTATGTTGTTAAAACGTGAACAGCTGTTCACTTGTTTGGATGCTCGGAGCGGTGTTTGTAGGACGGATGGGAAAGTTAATCACCGCGGAGGGAAAAGTAGAACACCGCGGAGGGGCCCAGGAGCAGGAACAAAGTGCCCTCAGATCACGGAGAGCATGTTGCCACCCGCTGTACAATGACGTGCTTGTGTCTTAGAAAACCGAGCCCGAGTGGACATCCTCTGTGCTCATACAAGGTTACCGCGCTGAAAGGTGAGCTGCAGGAGTGTTCCAGCTGACCTGGGGTTTCAATGACTCCTTTCAGGGGACCAAGCCGCAGACCAGGCCTGGAGCTCCGATAGCCACTTTGTTATTTTTCCTTTTAAAAAAATATATATCTTATCGATTTTTTACAGAGAGGAAGGAAGAGGGATAGAGAGCTAGAAACATCCATAAGAGAGAAACATCAACCAGCTGCCTCCTGCACAGCCCCCACCGGCGATGTGCCCGCAACCAAGGTACATGCCCTTGACCGGAATCGAACCCGGGACCTTCCAGTCCACAGGCCAATGCTCTATCCACTGAGCCAAACCGGTCCCGGCCAGATAGCCGCTTTCTTGAAGCTGTCAAGGGAGGATGAGAAAGAATTGGAACGAAGCACCATGGGGCAAAACCAGGGCATTCATAAGAAACCAGATTATAAGGGATGACAACAAAGCAGATCCAAAGTACCCGAGGCTTCGTTTGGGGGCATGTGTGAGTTTTAACCACTCAAACAGGATGAGAGAGTGGGGGACACTATTTCTAATGATAATTTATAATGCTAATGTTAGCAGCTCGCGCGTCTTAAATGCTTACTGAGTTTCAGGCTCTGTCTTAATCATTTCACCTACAAATTCACTTAATCCTCACCACAGTTTTGGGAGGCTCACCCCCCATTTTGCAGATGAGGAAACCATCACAGAGAAGTTAAGCAATTTTTCCAGGTTATGCCAATAGAAATCTATTGATCATGATGTAAAATATTTTACACCGTTATTGCATGTTAACGCCACCAGATGGATTCAGGCGTTTCCAGAGACACGTCTGCCCGCACCTTCAGGGGCCGTACCAGGCTGTGGGTGACAGAGGTGTGTGTGCGGGGCCCAGCCTGAGCCAGGAAGGACAGGGCAGATTGTACGGAATGCACTCCCCCCCTGTGGGCCCTTCCACTGCCCCTGGAGGGCGAGGGCTGCTGTGTGTGGACCTGCGGCCACAGAGCCCCCGGAGCTGGCGGGTGGGGAGGGGCCGCTTCGTGCTCTCGGAAAAGAAGAATGCATGTTCGGGACCCGCCTCGCTATGCCAGAGCCTAAAGAAAGGCCTCCGTTTTGTTCCGGAGAAAGAGACATAACATCTCAAAAGAGTGTACCTTCGTTTAACTCAGTCCCTCGTGGGTTAACAGGATACATTCCTCTCACACCCGGAGTGCATCCCACCTGTAAGGACTTGCCTGTCCTGCAGTTTCTCTTCTTTCACGCCAAGCGGTTTCCCTCTTAGTTGCTTTTCTGGGTGTAAGCTGGTTTCTGTGTACTTAGTGTTAAAGGGAATTGAAGTCATTTCTATTTATTTTATACCATTATAGCCTTTTCGAGGCAAGCGTCTGAGAGACAGGGAGAACAAGCAAAATGGCGGGAAATGTATTCACATGCTTCCACAAACTCATTATTAGAAAACCAGGGGGGGTCACCCCGGGCTTATCCTAACGGCTAACTTGAATGTGTCGCTCCTAGATGTTTCTATACTTGTATGCAATTAACACGCTTCTTAGAGAATACATCTCAAGGTTTCTTTCCGTAAACAATAACCGTGGTGATGTGTTTTGAGGGCCCGTGAGGTGCCAAGCCCGGTTCTAAGCTTTCCAAATGCATCGTTTTGTGTAATTCTTGCGGCTCACGAGGTACGGATACTATGATTACCCCCTCTCTACAAATGAGGGAGGTGAGGTCTTGAAAGCTTACGTAACGTGCCCCAGGGTACCCA